AACCTCGGTGCCAGACGGTCTTCCACCAACACAGTTCTTCGGTCCACTATCGTCAGAGATGGTAATGTTGACTGAAAATAAAAGTTCGTAGCACAATAATTCGCTGTAATCTTGAGTACGGAAATTTGCTACAAATTTAAACTATTACAACAATCTTTTTGGTCGTGACACCAGGTTTTTTAACCCATCGAGTTGGCACTCACCTTTTTGTAAATTTTCTATTTCCTGCTGGAGCCACTTTCTTAGAGACTCGTCACGAAAGTCGGACGCTAGGGCGATTGTCTGGTGCCGTAGTTTGACATAGCCCGTGTACAGCCCTTGAAGGTACCACTGGCTGCCAGAAGACACCAGAAAACCGCCACCTTGCACTGTTGGCTCTATATGAGGGGAAGTTGACAGCAATCATTATGAACTTGAAACTCACCTGTGTAACATGTACGCAATACCTCCTGAATATCTACATGTATTCATGGGGTAGCGTGGAGATGCTCAGAAGTAAGCAGGAGGAAGTGTGTACAGGTACTTCAGCACAATTAGCTTTATCATAAGGCACTACGTCCATGGCCGGTGGACTAGCACTTAAAAACCACTTTTTAGACTTTTAAAGGTGATAGGGTGAAACTTTGTTTCTTGCGATGAAAAAAAAATCAGAGACCGATCGGACACATTTTAGTTCTGCCACAACGTCCCTGAAGTTGATTTATTTTAAATAACGACACTAAGTTAGTAACTACCCTCTCTGATGTCCGATCGACGTCCGATTTTGACCAAAAGTAGAGTATTATATAGAGCAACTCTCGTGCAAAGCCACTCCGCTGTAGCTTAAATACTTTCGAAGTTATGGCCGTTAGAAGATTTTGGTCCTTTTTAGTACCTTTGGGGAAATGGCAAAATTTAAAAATCTAAAAAGTGATTTTTAAGTGCCAGTCTAATGGCCGGTTGGCTGTATGTGTCTACCGAGAAGGTACTAACGGGTGTTTTCTACGAAATTAAGCGAATAAATACACCGTTCTGACAGTCGATGCGAAGAAGTTATAAGGTTATGAGGTTATGAGTTAAGAGGTTCTGCGCCAGCCCAGCCAACACTAGTGGATCACCACGGGGAAAAAAAATCGCTGAGTCAGCTAATAAATTTGACCGATACATAGACAGACAAGCACATAAACTATAAACTACTGTGACCACTATATTGTCTACTCTAATCAATCAATGGCTGAGCCAGTGAAACATTAGTTGTATGAAATTCTGATTTTCCTGCATCAGTTAGGACTTCGAATAAGGCAGGGAAGGGATTAGCTCTTACAGCTAATTTTTGACTGGCACACCCAATGATTGATAAGAGTGGACAACATAGTGGTCACAGTAGTATATGTGCTTGTCTGTCTGTTAATCAGTCTAATTTAGCTGACTCAGCGAATTTTTCCCCGTGCAGATCCACTAGTGTTGGCCGGGCTGGCGCAGAACTATATTTTCTACACTAATCAATCATTGGCTGTGCCAGTCAAAAATTAGCTGGAAGAGCTGATTCCTTCCCTACCTCAGTCGAAGTCCTAACTGATGGAGGAAAATCAAAATTTCATCAAACTAATCTTTGACTAGAAGATGTGACAAAGACTTGAAATTTTCAGGTCATCCTAAAGTACACTCCTAGAGAACGAAACGCCTATGGCAAATCCTGACAACCACCCCTAGAAGTGTGAATGGGGGCATCTAAGGTTCAAATATTCTCCCAAAAAGGTTTTTTTATGTTCTTGTAAAGGGTAACTCGTCCAAGTAGAGCCCGCCGTCGGGCGAAAATTTCGTCCGTTTGGCTCAAACTCTAACCGTTTAGGGGCTGGAGGCTCTTTTTTGACGAAAATAAGCAAAAAATTACTGTAGTGAACAATAAGTTGTAGAAGAAGGCCCAAAACCGCAAAAGAGGAAAGAAACTCCCTCCCCCTAATCACAGACAGTACTGTATCCGCCACTCGCCAATTTCAACAATCAGATCAAAAATGTGGACATTGACCTGTGCAATTAGAACAGTTCTTAACAGCGACTTCGTAAGTCACTGCTCCTACGGGATGTACGCACGTAGGCGCACCCCTGAGCGACGAGGTGGACGGTGCCGCAGTGTACAAGGCGTCGGTCGTTCCGGGGACCTGCGAGAGTTAGAATTTAACAGATTATTTCTGGAATATGGTTGACTTTATGAACAAATACTAATCGTTGTCGGTTAGTGCGACTGCTTATGAAACATGCCGCG